AATTGTTGTAAAAAATTTGTTAAATTCAGCTGCAATATAGTTTGAGTCGTTAATTAGTTTGTTGTCAATTTTTATTTCATGTGGCAGAGAATTTGTATTTGTTTTAAGTTTTCATGTAATTTCTTTCATTATTTTCCAGATTTGTTTCGAATTATTTTTATGTTTATTGATCAAGTAGGAGTAGTATTTTTTTTTTTGCATTTTTGCGAAGTTTTTCATATAAGTTTTTATAGGTGATATAGTTATTTTTATGTTTTACTGATTTTGATTTTAAATATTTAATATATAGCTTTTGTTTTTAAATACAGTATTTAACTTTAACTTTTTTAAATACAGTATTTAATTTAACTTTAAATACAGTATTTAACTTTAAGTTTTTAAATACAGTATTTAACTTTAACTTTTTTAAATACAGTATTTAACTTAACTTTTTTAAACACAGTATTTAATTTTAAATACAGTATTTAAATACGGCGTTTAATTTTGGTAAAAATATTTAATAATGCTTTTAATTTATTTTATTAATTTTTATGGTTACTCAAGTGAGAGGAGTGGGAAAAACGACTCCACAAGAAACAGTTTAAAATGTTTTGAAGGCTATCATGGTATACAGGCATTATTTAGCAAGTATGGAAGAAAATGCGAGTTTGTAAATATTGCATCTTATATTAGACTGAAATATTTTTGTTAACATTAAATCGCCGAACGTAAAACAGTGGTACATTACCAGGGCCGGATCTAGCATTTTTTGGTCTTTGAGATTGCTAACTTCCAGACATGGAGCAAACTTCAAACTTTTATATGTTTATACTTATGTCAAATAAGGATGCTTTGCAAAAAAATTGCGATGATAAGAGGTTGGGAACAAAAAAGCCCCGAAATTTGCGCCCCCCTGCCCCAAACGTGAGAGCAACAAATTGATGAAATAGTTTTTATATTATTTTTAACTAGACTTATATTCATCGATAAATTTTAAATTTCATAGTAAAATAATTTAGCGATCAAAAGTTATGACCATAAAATTTGCAACCCCCTCAAATTGAGGGGGGTTTAAACTTAATATGGTCTTAATTTTGACATAAGTATAAACATATAAAAGTTTGAAGTTTGCTCCATGTCTGGAATTTAGCAATCTCAAAGACCAAAAAATGCTGGATCCGACCCTGTACATTGCCCATTTTCTCTATTCATTGTTTGTAATTTACAGTTGTTTTTTATTTTAATTTACCCTTTCATCGTTTGCATTTGCATAATATTTTGTTCTTTTAATTTCCATAACTGCAATTTTTTTATTATTGACTTAATATTGACTTGCAGTTCTTCGTTAGGTTGCGTGAATTCAGTTGTTTTACTTTTTATCATGCACTTAAAAAATTATTATTTCTATTCACTTTTTGTTCAGAGCAAACCTTTGTTATTTTAAATTCTTATATATATTTAAAAAATGTTCATAAGCATTATTTATTTATTTTTTTCAACATCTTCACTTCCAACAAGGCTCCAAGCAACCACTATCAGAGTTGTAAGTTACTGGGAGAGAAAAAAATGATGCTTATAGAGCAATATTATTATTAGACGACTTAAAAGATTGCAAATTATTTTAATCAGGAAAACAAGATTAAGGAAGCGAATTCCAAAGAACTGATGTACGAGAACCAAATAAGGAATAAGGAGAAAGAAATAGAAAATTTCAGCTATCTTTTCATGTTTTAGAGATATCAAACCGTGATCAGAAGCACCTAAGGGTGAAAGTGGAGAAGCTTAGCACTGACTAGGATCAGAAACAAGACATAAGTTGAGTAGAGGTAAATCATTAGGATTGTCTGGAAAGCGAGTTAGAAAGTTGACTATTTGGGTTAGAGATTGAGAAAAGCAAAGGTTGTGTGCCTTTGCATCTGCAGGGTCACTGACACTAAAGCCAACCCATTTAGTGTGATGAGCATTAAAGTAACCAACAACGAAGATATTGGCTGAAAGATAAAGAGAGAGGGTAAGGTCAATTTGATCAGAAATTACATCAAAAAGAGTACAGTCTTGAGATGAAGGCAATATAAAATAAAGTAAGGTGGTGCTAAATGGTTCAGACCTAGTTTTCTTACAAATGGGTGTATTCATACGAATCTAAAAAGTTACTTCAAAGACCACGAATATTAGTGATTGATAGATTTAATGAACTTGGTGAGTTTTGTGGCCACACTTTGACGTAAGATCTGTTAAATTTGATGGGGGTGAAAAGGTGATGGCTTATTGCAAAGATATTCTAGGACTGGTGGAAAATGTTGTCAAAAAAAGAAATATTTCAAGTGAGTACATTTTAAAAGTCGGCATTGATGGAGGAGCTGGATTTTTGAAAATTTGTTTAAATATCTTAGATCGTTGCAAGGTATCTAAAGAAAAGGTAAAAAAATTTAGTTATGACGAAGGCATATGTAAAGAAAAATACAAAGATGGTGTGGTTAACAAACTCATTATTATTGTACTTGTAGAAAATTTGCAAGAATCTTACGCAAATATGAAAATAATAATCGATTTTATTAATTTAAACAGTATTAAATACTTTTGTGCTTTCGATATAAAGTTAGCCAATATTTTTTTTGGAATAGAAACTGCAGCCTCAACTCATCCTTGCCCTTGGTGTATAGCTAGCAAAAATGATTTTCAAAATTTTGAATTTCAAGGTGAACATAGAACGCTTGGAATGATTAGATCATCAGCTAATAACTACAAAAATACTTGCAGAAATTAATATTAAAAAATCAAAGTTATCTGCAGTTCCCTATCATAACTGTGTAGACCAACCACTTATTAATTTACCAGATGAAACAAAGGTTATAAAACTTCTTGCTCCGATGGACCTACACCTTCAGTGGAAACATTAACAAACTTTTTAATTATCTTGATTCATATACAAAATCTAAAGAATTTTGTTTTAAAGCAGAGAGTGGAATGAAAAACTGGGGTTTAAAAGACCAAGACTTCATGGTGGGCAATTTAAGGGAGGACAGTGTTCAAAACTTCTTGATAATATAGATATTTTGAACAATTTGATCAAGTCTTTTTCACTAGATAATGATGAACAACTTTCTTTCATAATACAGGCATTTAAATGCTTAAGAGAAGTTAAAGTTAGTTGTTTAGCGATGACTTTAGAACCCGACTACGAAATAAAAGTAAAAGATTATCAAGAAGCTTACTATAAACTTGGATTAAGAGTATCACCTAAAGTACACGCTTTAGTAAAACATACAGTAGAATTTTTAAAAATGATGTCAAGTGATTATCCAAACAAAGATCTAGGCTATTGGAGTTTTTATTGACAAATGTAACCGTTTTCAGAACTGACAAAATTTTAGTCAGTTCTGGGAAAACGGTTACAAGGTATCCAAATGTCACAAAAGTTATTCAAAAAGATTGCATAAAGCTATTGTTACATATAACTCTCGTCATACTTCCTTTTCTGAAAGTCTTACTGATTAACTATATATATAATTTATTGTGAAAAATTAGTTTGTAAAATATGAAACAGTTATTTTTAAGTTGTTATTTTAAATATCACTAAAAACCACAACAAAAAACTAAAATCTTCTTTTTATTTGTGTCCAGTGATCGGGCCCAATCATATTAAATCTCTAAGATCACGCCCCTAACGTAACGCCCTTAAAACGTTTATGAGTTTTTTTTTTCTTTTCATATTTATTAGAATCAAAATTTATCGAATATCATTCCAAAAAAATATGCCGTTTAAAAGTTGTGATCTTTTAAAGTTATTTTTTGGAGTTAATTGGGGAATAAAAAACTAAAAACAATAATAACTTTTTAAAGAAAAAAGGTTTTTGTATGAAAATTTAAATCTGTCGATTAATTTTAATTTAGTTAAAAAATAAAAAAAAAATTTCTAATGAAACCATACATGGGACACAAGGACCCAAATTTTAGGTTTAATATTGTTTCCAGTCTCCGATCGTCGCAATTTTTTCTAAAACATTCTTATTTTGCATTAGTATGACTATTACAAAGTTGAGAAAGTTAATGTTTAAAATACTATCTTATTTAAAATATTTAATAAATAATGTTATTATACTAAAATAATTATATAAATATATTTTAATTTTTGTAATCTACTTGCAATATATTAAAGAACTCTAAATACTTTTTTATTATAACATTTAATTTGAATATGGTTTTGATTCACATTAAAAATTTTGCGGTCCTTGTTTATAGTTGAATATATATATTTTTTATTTCATATTATATAAATATATTATATATTTATATAATATAAGAATATATTATATATTTAATAAGTTGAATATATTTTAACTATATTTTTTAATGTTTTTAAAAGAAAGCAATTAAAGTTTGTAAATTGTTTTTTTTTATTATTACTATAGCTTTTTATTATTATATTTTTGTATTACTTTTTTAAATTCATCGACAACTAAAAATTCTGGTAAGGTTTCTTTTTTAACTTTTTAAAACAATTGCAAAGCCCATTAGAGTTTTTTTTCAGACCCAATTGCCACGGCACTGATTGTGACTTGCAAATAAGTTCCCACAATTTTTTGATAAATTGCTCTGGCGATCTATCAAAACGAGTATTATTTAGTTTCACTACTGGAATTTAAAATTTTTCTTGATCATACTTATTTTAGATCATATTTATTTAAAATATAAAAAGTTGTAATAAGAATATTATGTGTTAAAATGCATGTGTTTATATATTTGCTTACAAGTGCGAATATGTTTTTAAATTTTTTTTTATATTTCACATTTAGAAACAAAAAAATTGTAAATTTTAAATAGATGTTAATTTTAATTTTGATTACTAAATCTTAAACATTTTTAACTAAAACAAAAAAAATGTAGAAAATAGTTTATACGTTTTTATAGAGAATTTATGCGTTTTCTTATTAATTATCCAATTACTTGAGTAAATAAATAGTTGCTCGTAACTAATTACAACAAATAACTACGGAACATTGTTGAAAATAACTACTTACATTCTTGGGCAACCGTGCAAGAAATAAAGAAAAATAAAATGTAATTTGAAACGCTTGAAAACATAGCTTTCTTTTTTTCTACTGTAATTAAAAAACTTAAACTTAATTTCTTTTTTATTATAAACAAGAAAGGTGTTTAAATGTTTTAACATATGAACAAACAAGTAATTAGCTAAAAAAGTTAACCCACCCAGACTAGGGCAATTCCACTGAGCAAAATTTTTCGTAAACAAAAATTGGGCGTGGAAGATTTAATGTAAAAAATAATAATTAAAAAAACATAAAACTGATTCGGGCTTTAATATTTAAAAATTGATAAAATTGTTTTTTTTTTGTGCGAATACATAAACTTTCGTTGAATAAAGCATGTAACAAAAACTGGTTCAAATCTTATGTTTAAGGGTTATAACAATTTTGTTAGGTATCACTGATAGCAAAGAACATTATTGTAAATATTTTACGGCCAATCACCCATGTAATATTAGGGTGATAGGGGGTGCTGAACATGCTAGTCATAAATTAACATTTTTAAGCATCTAAGACAATAATATAATAAAAGTAAAATAGAAGTTGAACAAAAATAATAATGATCAATATCATTGGCATGACTAGTGACATGACAGTTTGTCCCGGGCAGCAGATGTCCATAAGGTGCCAAAGAAAAGTTACGTAAAAAAATAAGGTCTTTCACTGATATAAAAAAGTTCAACATAATTGGGGCGCCAATCAGGGTTTTTCTTAGGCCGTGTGGTAACTCTATGCCCCCGGGGACCTCCACTCATAAATGTCTAAAGAAACTTTCTCTTTATAGGTATTACTAAAAAAAATCAGTAAAAGAACAGCTTGTTCAGACTGCCTCTTCTTCTATCTAGTAGTTAGTAAAGTTGCGTGGGGAATTCTCCCCACCGCTATGATCAATATATCAAAAAAAAAAATTATTTTAGGGAACTTTTTTATAAAAAGCCTATTTAAGATTCGTGTCACCTTTCCTAAATAATGCCTAGACCACCCCAAAAATAAAAAAGCGTGGCTTAAAAATGATTTTATTTTTTAACCCTTTTATTTTGCTTTTAAAAAAAACGTATCAGTTCATTTTCTAATACCTAAACCTTGGAAAACTAATATAAATTTAATTTTATAAATTTACATAAATAAAGTTCAAATAAATAAATTGCTCTTATTATAATTAATATTACAAGTGTTACATTTGACAGTTTTTTTTTAAATGATGGAACAAAATTTTGGTAACATTTTTATGATTTTCTTTCCTACTCTGATCTTTAGTAAGAAAGTTTTTTTTTGAGACCATAAACTTTTTTTTGAGACCATAAACTTTTTTTTGAGACCATAAACTTTTTTTTGAGACCATAAACTTTTTTTTGAGACCATAAACTTTTTTTTGAGACCATAAACTTTTTTTTGAGACCATAAACTTTTTTTTGAGACCATAAACTTTTTTTTGAGACCATAAACTTTTTTTTGAGACCATAAACTTTTTTTTGAGACCATAAACTTTTTTTTGAGACCATAAACTTTTTTTTGAGACCATAAACTTTTTTTTGAGACCATAAACTTTTTTTTGAGACCATAAACTTTTTTTTGAGACCATAAACTTTTTTTTGAGACCATAAACTTTTTTTTGAGACCATAAACTTTTTTTTGAGACCATAAACTTTTTTTTGAGACCATAAACCAGTTTTGATACTTCGGTTACTGACTTAACTGCACGTTCAACTGACTGAGAGTTGTTTGGAAGAAATGTAAAAAGCGCTAAAACCTCTCCAGATTCTTTTGCTTTCATCAGTTCAACAGATGAAATATAAATTGTAGTAGGAGGTTCCACTTCAATTTGGCATGTTTGAACAAGATCAATCCAGCAGTTACAATCAAAATCAATTTTCATTATTGCTTTGGGTTAAGCTTAGGAACAAAATCTTTATTTTCCTCATTTAGCTTCCTAATAATGAGTATTCGATCTATGGCTTTGTCGCGATTTACTTTCTCATCATCCATTATCATACAATAGAGAAAATTCTCCTGTAAACAGCAAAATGAACTTCCAGCTAAGTTTTTAAAGATGAACTCTTGTATCTTTTTATCTTGCAATTAAGTCAACTCAATCAATTTAAACAGAATTTTTGCTGAATCTTTATAATGAACTGATCAGAAGGTGGTTCTTAGCAAACCTAACATTAAATATACTTTACGCACAACAAGCTTAATTGAACCATTGTGCAAAGCTAAACAAGAACAATTTAAAATTACGTATCGTGCTCCGCATATCTGGAATAAAATCTTAGCAAAATATTATAATTTACCAGGTGTAAACAATATAAATTGCTTTCAAAAACTAATAAAAAGGAATATTTCAAAGTATACTAATCTTATTAATGATTTCTTTTAAACTGCTTTGTTTTTTTGTTTGTTTGTTTGTTTTTTGTCTTTTTACATAGAAAAGTTTTTGGTTTTAACACTATTTACCTTAGTTAAGTTTTGCTTTTAACACTATTATAGGAATTTAATATTGTAAAAACATAATTATTACAACGGTTCTTGATGATAAGACTTAATGGTCTTCTGCAAGTTTTCCGCTTTTTTATTTATTTTTGTATAACTAACTCTTATTATTTTGTCTTTGATTTTTTATATTTATAACTGGTTTATTTATGAAAGAATAAGAGTACCTGGTTTTATATAACGGAATTTAATTGTAACAAAAACGGAAAATTTAAAAAAAAAAAAATACACAAATGACTGAATTTCGGACATTATTGTAGAAAAAACTATTAAAGTTCATGAGTAGAATTTTCTGAAACCGATGAACAAACTGGACCTTTATATTTCTATGGATCATTTGTGTTTCCATCAAGTAGAATAATTACTTGTCTTAATTGCAATTCATTTTGGTTTAGTTGAAATCCAACTAAATGTAGTTTTCTATTTATAAATTTTTCTAGCTTAACAACGAGACCACTGTCTGTACCAGTATTTGAACTTGTATTGTCAAGAACCACAGCTTCAAGAGTTTCGGTGCTGTTAAACTCAGTTAAAACTTCTTTAGTTGCATTTGCTTTAGAAACTCCAGTTCCACTTGTAATAATTTTATGTGTTGAATATATTTTTTTTTTGTTCCACTTTCTGCAGTAAATGTGAGATGTGCTTCTTTTTCAATTCCAGGTATTATAATTGGCTCACCTTCTGAATTGTAAGCAATTGTGTGAACAAGTGTTTCTTTATTTATTTTATCGTCAACTCCGATAACTTTTAATTGAAAAACTTCTTTACTATGGTCAATGTCAAGTTGTTCTCCTATTCTAAACTTCTCACTAAAAACTTTCTTTTCTGTAATGATATTAGTTCTTTCAGCAGCTGTTACTATGCCATAGTCAATGAGTAATTACTTGTTTATTCTCTAATTTGATTAGTTATTTTTGATCAATTTTGCCAATCTGAAATGACCCTTTTTCACCTTTTTTAGCTCTTTGGTCTTTTAGGTACTCCCTTTCATTTACTAGTACCCAAATTTAAAAAAAAGTAAATACTACTAATGAAATATTTTTTGCTGTAATAAATGTCCTTAAAAAATTGATTTTTGTAGTCTAAAAATTTAGTTGCTAAATACCTTTTTTTCTTCATCACAGTTGCATAATATATGCTTTTTAAAATAATCTTTAATGTCACATCTAACCAGTCTGCAGAAATGATTTAACTAATTTGTTAAATATTATTTACATTTTAGAACAAATTTAAAAAAAATTTAAAGTTAATAAAAATATTATTTAAATTTAAAACTCGATGAAAAAGTTTTTATTATACCTGTCATCACAATTAGCAACAGGTAGTTCACAATTACAAGCAGACAAATCAAACAATGAATCTAAATTTTTCTCCAAATAAACAATGCTGGATTTGCTCTCTTTCAATTTTTTATGTTCAGCACATAAAACTTTTTTAAAAAGTAACTCAAGTTTTTTCCGTATACTTCTCTCGTGGATCAAGGGGAGTTTAGAGTTCACTTTTCTCTATAGCTCAACAAGTTTAATGCTTATTTGAGAAACAGTTTGTAGCAAAATAAACCTATATGCATCAAGTTTCCTTTTGCTTTTCTCTTGATAATTTCTAATTGCTAGAATTACGTCATCTGCTTCCTAGACCTTTAAAAATGATAGACGAAGGTTTTTTGTAATTTGTTTCAGCCACAATTTTTTTGCGTATGTGACGTCACTTTGTGGCTAAAAACTGGAAAAACAAACTAGAAACAAGATTTTGTTTAAATTTTTTAGAAAAACTTCTTCTATTAAAGATATATGGAATATATTTTTATGGGATATATTCTAATAAAGACAAAAACTATTTATTTATTACTATTATAATAAATACAAACTCTTACCCGTGAAATAATATATCTGTACCAGTTTTTGGCATATGTATGTAACATGATTAAAAATAATCAAAAAAAAGGGGGAAATCTAAAATTGGAGTTTCAAATTTTCCACTTGAATGTCAATATGTTTTGTGTTTTTTCAATCTTTTTTTTTTTTTTTTAAATTTATTAACATACCTACGAAAAATCAAAACAAAATAGCTTGAGCAAAAAAGACTTGTAGTTATTGGAAAAGTTTGCTTATATTACATACGATCCTGAATGAAACGTTATATATGTGGATTTTTTACATTTTATAAACTATATACAGGGAGTAAAAAAAAATGCCACACTCAATTTTTTAATAAAAAGTAAGAATGTCTTAAACTCATATAATAAAAGTAATTCAGAACAATTTTTAAAGAAATGTGTGTGATATTATTGTACATTACATGTAATGTAAAGGAATTAGGATTTTTAAAGTATTTTTTAAGTTTTAGCTGTATTAGTATTTAATTGGCCATCCTTTGTTTCTTATGGCTTGTGCGCATCTAGAAGGCAAACTACCTACAAGTCTTTTTAATAAGTCATTTGGTAAAGCATTCCAACCAGCAACAAAATTTTGAAACAGTTCATCTACATTTGTTGCCCGACGATCTTGCAATTTTCTATCCAATATAGACCAAAGATTTTCTATTGGGTTTAAATGAAAAGACTGTG